GGGTTCGTGAGTGAGTGATAACTACATCTGGATGCGAATGACTTTCCTGAGTGTGTAATAGCAGATGACTGGCCTCCAATGAACCCATGTGGATTTGTTTCAGAATGGCTTGCAGCCTGGCTTAGGCACTGAAACTGCTTAGGTCATGCAATTTCAGTTCTATCCAATTCCTTAATTTTAGAGTGAAATACAATTTACGCTTGTTTTGTTCTGTTAATCATAAAATTAACAATTAATGTGAAGTGTGTACTTCTTGGGTTTTTTTTTTAAAATAACGGAGGTTAGGTGGCCATCTCCCAGGAATGCTTTAGCTGTGCATATCTTGTATTGGCAAGGGGGTGAACTAGATTTCTTCTGAGCTCTCTTTCAAGTTTTCACCTCCGTTATCCTATCACACCCAATCGAATTATTTATGCAGCTAGACCAGTGTTTCCCTATCTTGAATACCCAGATTTCTGCAGAGGGAGCAGAAGGAGAGCTGTGTCTGGGAGGCCATCCTCAACTGGGTGTGTTTTTAGGTTTCTGTGAATAAGTTTGTTTCTGACCATGTGATCTCAGTGGTTGGCAAACAGGGGTGCTTACACAGTGATTGTGTGGTCTCAGTGCTTGGCAAACAGGGGTGCTTACACAGTGATTAGCAGGGGAGTTTTAGGGAGGGGATCAGACTTCCTTTCTTATTCTTTTTTTTAATTGACTGACCTAATTGTTCAATATGCAGAGTGATGGAGTCGCTCCAGTCACCTGCAACAGCTGTGGCATGTTTGTATTCTTGCCAAAGGATGTGCCTGGCCACTCATGCACCAAGTGCAAGTTGGTGGCCCACTTGGAAGATAAGGTCTGGCAGCTGGAGGCCCATGTTTCTAATCATCGGATTACTAGGGAGCATGAGGATTTCTTGGGTGGGGCAGTAAAGATCATCTTCAATACAGAACACATGGAAAGCATCATTGAGGAGGAAGGCAGTTCACAAATACAGAAGGCAGACATGTGGAGGAATGTCACATAAGAAGTAGAAGGCCCAGGAGCCTTAGAGAGAGTTTGGAACTACAGAATAGATTCCAACCTCTCGCCCTTATTAATCAGGAAAAGGAACAGCTGCAAGAGCAGCAGTGTCAGCCTGCAGAGAATATCCAGAGGAGCCTGGAACAATCTGCACATCAAGTGTCCCCTACCAAGCTTCAGAAGAGATGAGTTGTGGTTGTTGGGGTCCCCTTGCTCAGAGGAACAGAAGCCACAATCTGTAAGCCTGACAAGATGAATCATGAGGTGTGCTCTCTCCTGGAGCCAAAATTTGTGATGTAACAGAGAGACTGACAAAACCCATTAAGCCCACTGATTCTTATCCTTTCCTTCCGGTTCATGTGGGAACCAATGACACTGCAAGGCATAGCTTTCAGTACATCACAAAGGATTATGAGGATATAAGGATTACAGTGGGGCGGGGCTTTGTTGCGGTGCTGCCAGCAACTCCAGAGAAGAGCTGTCTGGAAAAACTGGAACCCTCCAGTCCGGGATCCCCCTTTTGAAATGGGGATCAAAGGAGATTCTAGGAGAAGTCTCTCTGAAGCAGATGGTGAGCAGCAGCAGGAGAAGAAAGGGAGGCAGACCCGGACCTTTTTCTTCTGAAGAAATCACCGATCGTCTTTTGGCAGGGGATGAGGTGCACCTCACAGCTGTTCGCAGTAATGTTTTTGCTAAGAGGCTCACAAATCTGATCAGGAGAGCTTTAAACTGAGTTCTGTGGGGTAGTCAGTGCAACTGTTTGGTGGATTTGTAATTGGTTGACTGTACATGTGAAAGGGAACCAGGAGTCTTGGTGGACCACAAGCAGAACATGAGTCAGCAATGTGATGCGGCTGCCAAGAAAACCAATGCAAGTCTTGGTTGCATCAATAGGAGCATAGTGTCTAGATCAAGGGAAGTGATAGTACCACCCTTTTCTGCTTTGGTCAGACCTCACCTAGAGTATTGTGTTCAGTTCTGGGCACCTCAATTCAAGAAGGATGTTAACAACCTGGAACACGTCCAGAGGATGGCAACCAAAATGGCCAAAGGTCTGGAAGCCGTGTCCTATGAGGAGCGGCTTAGTGAGCTGGGAATGTTTAGCCTTACAAAAAGAAGGTTAAGAGGGGACATGATAGCCATGTTTAAATATTTGAAGGGATGTCATGTCGAGGAAAGGACAGGTTTGTTTTCCCCAGTTCCAGACACTAGGACAAGGAGCAATGGTTTCAAACTACAGGAAGAGATTCCACCTGAATTGCAGGGAGAATTTCCTGACAGTCAGAGGTGGTCAGCAGTGGAATATGGTGCCTCAGAGTGTGGTGGAGTCTCCTTCTTTGGAGGTTTTAAAGCAGAGGCTGGATGGCCATCTGTCAAGAGTGCTTTGATGGTGTTCCTGCATGGCAGGGGGTTGGACTCAATAGGCCCCTGTGGACTCTTCCAACTCTGTTATTCTATGATTTTCTTGAACTAAAATTCTCAGAAGCCTTCACCACTAACTGTGCCAACCAGGATTTCTCAGAGTTGTAGCCCAAGACAATATGGGGACCCAAAGCTGGGAACCACTGAGCATCTGGACTTCTGTGTGACCTATGATACCCCTGACCATGAGATCCTTCTGCAGTGATTGCCGAAGTTTAGGACTGAGGTTTCCATTTAGTAGTGGGTTTGTTCCATACCAATTCTTCAGAAAACTATGCTAGTCCATTTCTCATAGCAGTTGTGTCTGGCTGGATTTAGGTATCTGGCTGTAGAGTTGGAAGTTTGATTCCCCACTGTTCCTCTTGAGAAAAGAGCCAGCCTGTACATCCATAGGCAAGATGCACAGTCCCAGGTACCCCCAGAAGCAGGGAATGGTAAACCATTTCTGAGTATTCTGACCCTAGAAAGCCCTGGCTCTGTCATAAGTCAGAATTGAACAGTTCTTCTTGCTGTTCATCTTCAATGAATCTGGCTGTCTACAAATCATTTAACACCAAATTTCCTATGAGCATACAATATGCTTCAAGTGAGAGGTCATCTGGGAATTCAGGATATAATATTATCACAAATGTTCTTCTAAAAACTTGCCTCCTGACTGTTTCAATACATTAAGACATGCTATCATTTTGTGTATCTTTGCATTTAACATATAACCTCACAAAGAGAATAGAGTAATTCACCATTGCCTACATTTTTCATGTTAACTGTCCCGGTTAGATTTACATCAGTTGGAAAAGGACAAGTAAACATGTTGCCATAGTAACCAGTGCTGCCTTGTTAAAATTAAATCACTTATGATGTAGAAAGGGTTCCCTAGTGGAGTTTATTATGAAGGAAGCAACTAATTGTTTCTCCTGCTTTCAGAAAGCATATGAAAAATATTGCCATATCTGCTACAATACCCTATAAAATTCAAGTTCATTGTACTCAGAACATTGCAGATGTTAGGTATATTTTCATGGCTCTATCAAGTCAGACTTCAGTTACATATGTACGTTTTTGCCTTACATTAAAGATTCAAAATTAAGAAGATTCAAAGCTTGATAATTAAGAAGCAGCTAATGTAATTTTGCTGTGGTGTCCAGGGAGTGGGAGAGTATAACACATCCTTGCAACAGCTCTTGCCACTAAAAGAATAGCACCTGCAGCTTTCCATATATGTTTGGACTTCGAGCCAACATCCCTATTGTTCGTACTGGCTAGAGCTGGTAAGAGCCCAGATGCCCCTCCTTAATATAACTAGGATTTGTATACAGTACTGTATATGGGAAATGGCAAATGTAGGAAAATGCTACTCATAATTCAGATATCTGAAAGTAAAACTTCCTGGCTCGTTTTACTTCTGTTCTCATTGTTGTCCCTTGGAAAAGGAGAACTGTCCACAGAAAAAAAGACAGTTAATGATTTTAAAATACTAACATTGCAGCTATATATCCCCTCAAAAACAAAATACAAGAAAACAGGAGTTCATGTTCTGAATTTTTCCTAGAGCTGTACCAAAGTTTTTCCTATGAGAACCTGTCCTATTAAACTTCATCATAAAAGAAATTTCGGAGACAATCTCAAGGGTATGGCTGAGGATTCTTGTATTTTCCGTACTTAAAGAGGTGACTAAGGATTACACACACATGGCTTGTATTTGGCAAAGTCTGGTTGGCATAAAGTTATGCCATGAAGCTGGATGACATTTAATTTAAATGAACTGAAAACTTCCTATGGCTCCAATCCAGGATCTAACATTCCCTAGGGATTCCTTTTGCCCTGGAAAACCATTTGGGAGTTTCAGAAAGTGGAAGAAGGACTATTTAATAGTCAGATCACTGATTGGGCAGTTATTATTGACTATTGAAGACTCTCCCTCCGTCTTGAAGTTCCTCAACGCCTCCCCAGGGCAAAAGGGAGCTTAAGAACATGAAACAAATGGATAGGAAGCTTTCAATTCATTTATGGTAAGTATTATTAGCACCAGATTATGATGTCATCCAGCCCTGCTGAGAGCAGTTTACAACAGCCACGAAGTGTAGTCCATTTTAAATATTATAGCTTAGAGATGGGGTTGAAGATAGTTTGGATTTGTAACAACAACAACAAAAAATCCTGTACAGAACAGACCTCAGTTTGCAGCTTCAGTTGCCGCTTCCAACTTCCCCCAGAGTCACATCCAACTCTCCCTTGGACCTCCAAAAGCACTGTGGTTCACAGACGTACATACAGATACTGTAATCTGCAGTTTGAAATGCTTTAAAACTCCAAGTTACATTTTACATGTTTCATGGAAAATAATTTAAATATGCAAGTTATGCTTTGCAGAGTTAAGCAATTAGCATATGGCAAATTAGAACTGAGGCTGCGAAGGAATGGTTTGCCCAAAGTCACACAATGAATGCATTATTCTACTGTAACTTAACCCCTGAGAATCATGGACAGCTTTTATTAACATCCACACTGTATCACTCAAATAGGAAGACAAACTCTACATGTAACAATCACAAATAAAAATTACCTTTATTAAAGTATTAAAAACATATACAAAGGGAAGAGATCACACAGTAATACTATTGAGCACATAGCATGAAGTGGGGGTAGGCAAAGTATGACAGTCCAGATGATGTTAATCTGTAACACTCCTACCATAAGGAATGCTGGGAGTTGCAGTCCATTCACATCTGGAGGGCTCTGACAAGCTCTAGCATAAGGTAAATAAATCACAGAATTTATAGGTTCCAAAAGATTGTCTGAGAAAAGGGGGGAAAACCCATGGTTCACCCTTTGCGTCAATTAGAAACTCAAGGAAACACTTGACGAGCCAAAAGGAAGTACCACTCAGAAAATAGACTCATGCTGACCAATACTAAGAACATGCAGATTATTAGGATCAACAGTTTTCATGGTACTTAAATTGGGATATAAACAATTCCTGAAGGCACGGCTATGTGACACTATCTTGCACTGGGGGCTAAGTATGGGAAACATCATGTGGAAAATTTGCCACCAAAAGCTTAGACCTTTGAGCAGCGAGTCTTCATTTCAGTTGTGCCTCACACTGGCCCTGCAAACTTTCCAACGTACCATTCTGACCAGTGGGATGAGACGACCATGGTCTCAGTTTGGCTCATTGGTTGGGAAGATGCTGCAATACAAAGAAAAATAGAGAACTCTATCTATCTACAATTGGCCTTGGTTCAATAAAAAAAATGATGGAAAGGACTGGAGTTGTATAGCACAGAACATGTTTTGCATGTAAAAATTCCCTGTGGTCTCCAAGCAGGGCTGCGACTGGCTCCTGTTGCAAAGCCCCAGAGAGTGACTGCCAGTCAGTCTGGGTAGCTCTAAGCTGAATGGACCAGCTGTCTGATGTGGGTGACAATGTTTCCAAAGTGTAGTGACAAAGCAGATAAAACCTTTTTTTCCCCACAAGGTAGTTGGGAAAAATTCAATTTTTAACATCTCCAGCATTTAAAATGTCATCAAGTGCAGCACCACAAGATAAACTTCCCCTTCCTAAATGACCCCACTGCATCTAAACACCAAGAATAAGTATTGCTTATTTTAGTAACAGGCTGTGACTATATGGTCAGATACTGTGGGATTTGCTCCACTTACAAAACTGGTGAATTTGAAGTATATTTTTTACTGACCATGTGATGCAAAGGCTGAATTTAATCAGTCCAGCCCTTTTTGCTCCCAAAGCAGCGTTTCACCCCTCTCTGCAGCTGGGTGGCTTCTACTTTTTCAAGTCTAAATGTTTCAAACAGGCTTTCCCCCATGTGGTTAGCTACAATACGTTCTTGTAATGTCAGGGTATATGTCTGTAGGTGGTGTTTTGATGGCGTAGGCAGTTGTGGCATTATGTTCAGTACCAGGGGAACATGCCTCCACATTCTTTCCTCTCCTCCGATCGCCCTTCAAATTTATTTTTTAAAAATTTGTTACATATATGAGATTAGCACTAGATCATTCAATCTTTATCACTGGGCCCTCATTATTATTTCCTGCATTTATGGCCCATAAAAGGACAGATAGAGGTGGAGCCAGAGAAGGAAGGAAGGATCTACAGAGTTGGAACCCGAGGAAGAAAGGAAGAAAGGGCAGGCTGTGGGCTAGAAAATTAATCGCATCCCATCCCATATGAACAGTGAAGTCCCCAATCAATCCACATTAGTGCGAGCAGTAACTGTGATTCCAGACATAAAACAGGCTATAAATCAAATTGTAGCAAAGCTGAATCACTCCAGTTCAGCTTTCTAGTGTAGTTGCTCCTTCAGTCGGTCTCACAAATTCAAATATGAAAAATCTACCTGGGAAAATCTACCTAATATGACATATCTGAAACCAAGCTGAATTTGTTTATTACAAAATAAACAATAGATAACACAAATGTTTAGTACGGAGCACAGCTAGAAAAACTGACATCCAACTAGACTTCCATGTAAAATATAGATATTTACGTAAAAATAAATTGTGGTCTTAGAAACAGTCACTTTTAGACTAAATTATTGTATGGAGGGAGTCTCCAGGAAAAGCATGCACCATAAGTAATGTATTTGCACAAAGGACATTTTTAATTGCAAGGTGATTCAAAGAATAGTACACAACAGCTTCTTCTCCCTGAAGGGATTTTCTGATGCAGGCACTGGCATAATAAGGGGGTCTTCACCCATGTGAGCATCACAGTACGCCAATAAATCAGCAGCAGCTTTGGACACCTAGAAAGGTAAAAAGCAAAAACAAAAAAGGGAAGGGGAGAGACAAGAGTCTAAGTGTGACTGCTAGTGCTACAATGTCTAAGGAAATTGAATATTTATATAATGTATTTATTTGCACCATAAAAAACAAAAAGACATCAAGAACAACTGTCTCGTGATTCAAGCCCAGATATGGTGCAGGAAGGACGTGAATGAGGAATGCCCAGGAAGTGTGTCCCTTTTTTGTAAAAAAGAAAGTAAAGCCAATCTCTATGTTCAGTAGGACATTGCAGTCTGGGTCCCAACTGGGGGAGAAAGAGGGAATAAAAATCAAATACTTCTATCCATACATTCCTTTGTGGTTATGGTGAAAATTGTGCCTATACAGAGTGTGCTGAGGAGAATTAAAAACAAATTCAGATTAATTTAATGTGAAAAACATGTTCTGCCTTGATATACCTTTGATCAGACTTTGTTTTTTTAAAAGATCAAGTTGATATAAGAATCTTCTAAACAGAACTGCATCAAAATCTCAAACTGCTAAAATGAAAAGGGAACCAACCCCCCCCAAAAGACATTTAGATAAGATACATAAAATTATATCTTTGTTGTGTAAAATGTTTAAATGGCATGCTAGACTTTGTGTTCTGGGACTAATTAACAGTGATTCCTTTTCAATAGCTTGTAGTCATAGACTTGTTCATATTGTAAATTATCACATGTCAAATAAATGCAGTATTTCTTATCTGGCCATTTGCTGACAAAGGAACTCCTTCATTTATACAAGACTATAATGCTATTCTATGCCCTGGGCTTTGTAGGCAAGGTCTTCTCATATTGTATCTGGATAAAGATTTTACTCATGTATATTGATCCTTTGTTTCATTTTAGTCTCACAGAAACAGCAAAAGATATATTTCTTGCACAATCACACAAAATCCAAAAAGAAATAAAAATAAAAAATAAGCTCCCTAGAACCAGGCAAGCACAATTTTTGAGGATGCCTACTTTGGCTTTCACTAGCACAGTGTAAATACAGAAGACCAACAGTGAGCTAAATCTGCTTAATAATCAGGAATCTTATAGTCTTGAATGGTAGTAGACTCACTTTCATTAGAAGTTTTTAATCAGAGGATGGATGACCTTCTATCAGGAATGCTGTAATAGCATTTTCCGCATCATCTAATTAGGTTATCTTCCAATTCTATGATTCACAAAACCTTTCAAATAATTTTCACATTGTATTCGTGAAGGCTTTCACGGCCATTTATCCTTTAAGCACTGAATTGGGAGCTACAGTACAGTACTTGGTCCTATCAGCTATAATGTTTTTGATTTAAATGTAGATAAATCAATGGTTATCATTATAAATGAGAAACTGAGAACTGGTAGTTTGATGTGAAAATGCTGTTTTAGTAAAATACAGGGAGAGGAAGAATTTTCCCGACACCTTCGAGCTCCCATTTTTAACCAAAAGTTGATATTCTTTCTCCACCTCCTTTTTATCTTACATGTATATTACTTAAATCTCGAACTCCTTCTTAAGATAAAATGAGCACACAGGAACTCAAATTACCAAACATTTGTGATTTGAGAAAGAGCAGTATTTGGAAGAATTGTGGAATTTTACCATTACAATTCAAAGTAAGGGGAATGATTAAAAGCAGCCAAAGTTAGAAAATAATCCTGCTAGATAATCTATAATTATGAGATGCAGTGACAAGAGAAAATGCTGCAATTACTACAGTCACCTTCCAAGACAAGACATAATTACTATTCTTGCAGCAACACCCACTCTGCTTTCACTTTGTGCCTAAAACAAGCACATCCACAAACATCTCCCTACCACCAGTGCTGATCACACAACTCTGTTTTAGAAATAGTTAACAATATTCTCATACCTTTATTTAAAGAGAGAAAGAAAAACACAATAGCATAATTGCTGGTTGTCAAAAAATCATCAGCTTTTTTAAATTGGAGGACAGCAAGATCAGCAACAAACTTTTATATCCCATAGGGTTGCTCCAGACATTACTCGAGCAAACCTCTATGTCTAACTCATTGCAAGTTCACTAACTTTCTTTTTAAGCCTCCTCCCCCAAACCGAAAAACCTCACGTGGTAGTTTTTAACAGTGGCACGTTTGTTTCTGGATTATAGCTATTGTTCACTCCTTTTAGCTGCATTTTAACAAATAAACCTTGCAAACTATTATTCACATATTTAAAATATTAGACTTATACCTGGCTTTTCTTTTTATGAGGGTCACAGTGATTTAAGCAGGAAGCATCTAACCACCATTTCCCATTTTGTCTGACCTGAGCAACTATGGTTACCATGCTTGGATAAATCAGAATATTAAATTACATCTTGAAATTGGTTGGTTATTATCGTGACTTGTTCAAATATGATAAGCATAATTTTGAATAAAAAAAGGAAAGAATGGTTAATTAGATGGTTCTGGGTTTAATTGCAGCTCATATGAAGCGGCTCTGTGCATGAGGAAAAGGCTTTTTCATCTGGGCTTAATAAACCAAAATAGGATTAACCAAACATTTATTGGCTGAAATCCAGAAGGAAGCGGCAACTAGAGTAGGCCCACTAAATCTTGTGAAGGAACTGACTCACTAAATCCCCACTGACTCAATGAACCTATTCTTTTTTGCAATTTAGTACTAGATTTCAGCCAATGGCTTATATAATGTTATCTGGTGGCATGCTATCCAAGCGCCATAAAACACTCAATCTATTTAGCTTTAGAAGTACAAATACCTTACTTGGTTTCAGATCATCTAGATCTGGGGAATCACCATTTAACAAACTGTATAAAACCCCAACCACCTTCCTCACATCTCCTTAGACCCAACTTGATTCACATCTGCCCCTTCTGTTTTCCTTGCATCAGCTAGGGGTATGCAGGGGGACACAGGAAAGACCTGTTGCAGAAAGGACAACATGTGCCATTTTGAGGGATACTGTTTCAAAGTCCCCCCCTCGCAGATGCTAAAAACCACAGATATGTATATATATTTCAGTTTTCAGTTAATATGCACTTACTAAGATGTTTTCTGGGACAATTCTTGTACCATAACTGAATTTGCCTGGTTTCAGTTTAAGAAGCATGAAGATTCCAACTGGGTGGAAAAAGCAGGTCAGGTGTTCTTGAAAACCTCTTTGGTCTATCACTGATTTAGCTATCACTTAATCTACAGTTGCAAGCAAAATGCCTTTTGTGTGGTAAACAAAAAACCTAAAGAATACCAAGGCATTAGAAGTTGCAAGCAAACTGCTATTTAAGCTGTAAACAGTAAATCTAAAGAACATTGAGGCTTTAGAAGGCTTCCAAATGCTATTTTGTTCAATGTGCTAAAAGTAAATTGTACTCTGAAAGGGATGTATCAAATCTGACACTTAATAAGTCTTCTCAATCCTCTGGGAATGGAAATAATCCAGTGTTTACTGAGTTAAAAGGAATGATGGTGTTTATCAATGGAGAAAAAGCTTTATCTACAGAGAATGGTTGCTATAATGTTTGTCAAAGATTATTTCAGAATAATTTGATCCTCCTGAAGCCCTTGCGCAGTCCTTTCCCTTTAGCTTTGGGGGATACCCTGAATCTCGTGACCAGATTTAAGGGAACATAGGGAGGGCTTCAGAGGAAAGACAGAATTAGAACTCATGCTATTCTGCTGGACTGAAAGAAAAGACTAACTGCAGACAAGCACACAAGAAGATAATGAAATAATGGGATGTCAACATCATTATTTTAAAATTACCTTTATCCTGTCCAGATATGCCTCCATCTTTAACTGCTCCACTGCTTTCCTTGCTTGAGATATACTTGTTGTACTGTTATTAGACATTACTTCCTTCATCCTATTTTTCTAGAACATTAAAAATAGAAGTACTATAAAAAACAGTTTCGAAATGGTAAATAAATATAAACATATTGTCCCTTCTGTCTACATTTTCTTCCTTGAGCCTTTTTCACATTTCATAGTACCAGCCCTTCGTAATATGTCATATTTTGCATTCTCAGTGTCACAGTTTATCTTTACGTCTCTCTTCATCAAAGTTTTGTCGTTCATCCAATATACAATTTGCCTAACAGCAATTATATTGCATTTATACCTATAAAATGCTATCACTTATAGCTGCAACGAGCTGCCACAAAGTAGATAAAGTCACATACAAGAAGAACATGGACGCCTGAGTAATGGCTAGCATGACTATCTTCAGTGGTTACCATTGAATTTACTACCAAAGCTTCAATCTTTCAGACACTTACCTGAGAGTAAGTCTCATTAATCCCCGCCTAAAACACAACAAATCTCAGAATTTGAACATTGCCTTCTGACAAATTGGAACAAGATCAGAGAAAGGCAACAAGGATGATGTGCGGGCTGGAAAGTAAGCTCTATGAGGAAAGAATGAAAGAAGTGGGCATGTTTAGCCTTGAGAAAAGAAGACAGAGGGGTGATATGATAGCACTTTTCAAATACTTGAAAGGCTGTCATACAGAGGAGGGGCAGGATCTGTTCTCAATCATCCCAGAGTGCAGGACACGCAACCATGGGCTCAGGTTATAGGAAGCCAGATTTCAGCTGAATATCAGGAAAAACCTCCTAAATGTTAGAGCAGTATGATAGTGGAACCAATTACCTCAAGAGGTAGTGAGTGTTCCAACACTGGAGGCATTCAAAAGAAAGACAACCACCTGGCAGAGATCCTTTGATTTGTATTCCTGCAGCGAGCAGGGGGTTGGACTTAATGGCGTTCTAGGCCCCTTCCAACTTCTCTATTCTATGATTTTAGGATTCTGTCTTGGACCACAACTGATTGAAGCCATGAAGCAGGGATGGGAAAACATGTAGGCTTCCAGATAGTTCTGGACTGCTGTTCCAATCAAGTCTAGTCATGCACTCTTCCTCCACCTCTGCAACATCAGGATGGGGACAGACTTTCTTATTTAATTATTTAAACTATGCAGAAGCTACGCAAGGTGGCCTCCAATACATAAAATACAAGAAACAAATATGGGCATTGAAAACTATAATACATGTAAACTATACTACTATTGATAATTTAACAATTCCAAATAAATGATTTACACATACACTTTCTTGTTTCACACCTTTAGATGAGAAGCAGTAAGATGCATTTTAGGGCCGGGTGGGCAATCTCCAAAGATCAGAGGGCTACATGTGCCCATACCTGGAGGCCATTCCAATACTCCCTTTCACCCTCTAGAAGGCACAAGGGAACATTTTGAGCCCTCCATTTTTAAAACAAAAAAATAAATTGAGGGTGGAATGCTGGGTTCCCCCAAGGGTGTATTTTTACTCTTTGGGGGTACATATAACCCACCTCCTTGTAAAGGTCTTAATTAAGCCACCAAACTAGCAAAGCGGTATGTTCTTTCTCTGAATGTTACTGTTAAAACCCATTTTCCACTACCTCCAAACACATGATCAATATCAGGGGATGATAAGAGTTGCAGTCTTTTTAAGGGGACTGGACCTGCTGGTAGTCTCAAAATCCTCTAAATATCTGAAATGTGGGAGTACATGCTCTAAAAACCAAGAAAAAGATGTTTCCAGCTATTGTATCAGCCAGTTTTTGAATTTCCTATTGGTTGTATCCGCATTTGCAATTTTTTCAGGTTTGGTTTTGGGGTTTTTTGAAGAATTTCTGAGTCTGATGTTGCCAGCTGCTGGACAAGTTTATATTCTAATGTTCTCAAGTTTCACATCCCCCGGGTAGGTGGGGCTCGTCAGCCTGGGAAGGCAGCCCATCTAGGAGAAGGAAACCTCCGATTTCAAACCTCCACTGCCTTGTGGCTATATCCATCGATGGAAAAGGCTTCAGGAGTAAACCTCGAGGCAAAATCTGGAGCTAGAATCCTGGAGGCAGTTTGTGTCATTCTGGCAACTCCTGCGACATCGCTGGAACCAGTTGTATTGGCTCTTGCCTTTCCATTGGACTATTTCAGTGATGTGGGGGATTTGCTGCTTGGATTACAGCCTATCCTCCATATTATTCTACCCAGGCTTCGTGCTCTGGAGAGGACACTCCAGCTTCACATACAGCACTGAAGTCCTCCATACAGAGCACGTTACCAGTCTTTCGAGACTGAAGGATGCCTATGTCTATGTCACATCTTTGTAGAGTAAAACAAAGGACTACGAATCTATGACAACATTATTCTTAGATGACCAACAAGAGTACAGTCTTTTGATGAAGCAGCTAGACCTTGGGATGAAACAGAATGTTTTGAACTTTGAAGATCTTTAGAGTTGTGTGTATGCTTCTATTTATTTTTGGCTGGTGGTCTGTTTGGTAATTTGAATACATATTATTTGGCCATTATTTCATACATGCAGTTGTGGTGGTAACAGCTACTCAGACACTCAAATTAGAGTGCCAGGATTTTCTGAGTCAAGCTAGAGCCAAAAATTAAATAGCAAAAAGAATCTTTAAACATCGAGCCTAACCATAAGAGTGCTATATAACTTCAATTATGCTTTATGTGTTTGCCTTAATATATCTGCTTTCAGGACTGTAAATGGATTTATTGCTCTTAAATCTTCTAATTCATTGGACAGTATGCACAACATGGAGAACACCACCATCTATTATATAGTATCATGCCCTTTTTATAGAATCTATTAACTTTACATCCAATAATAATTATATGTCTATTTAGGTATCTACATTATTTTAGAACAAACTATGATTTTCCCATCTTGGCTGTCATGATTCTGGCTTTATTATAAAAACAGGTCGTGTCATTCTCCAAATGAGATCTTTATGTACAGATTTTTGGTTATGAAGTTTGGTTGATTTAAATTATTATTTTATTCTCTGTTGTCAAACTCTATCCAGCTCCTGCTTCAGAGATGTGAAATATTTATATCAGTCTTCTGCAGCCTGAAGACTGATTTTCACCAGCATTCTTAAAGGATGTGTCATCTTGAACTGGATGTGCTCCAGCTACTGTTATCTCTCACACACTCGAAAGATGTTGATGCTTAGTACCAGAACTCCAATTCCACCACTGATTCAATTGCAGCCTGTATCTTCTATACAGAGACAGTTTGCTAATATCTGAATGTTTCCTAAGACATGATCTGCTGTATGCATTGACATTTTTAACCTTTGCATGTCTAACTGGACTGAAGCTTATAAGAGGTAGTGTTTATGACAATGCAATTTATTTATTTAAAGTATTTTACCCTGCCTTTCTCCTTGAAAAGAGCCCAAGGCGGCTTACAACATGGGAAGACAATATTTAAAGCTGAGAACAATGAGTATGAAGAGGCATCTTACATGATTAAAAGTCAATATTAAAGCTAAGAACAATAAATATACAAACACTTGTTAAAAATGCTTCTCTGATAAACGGAAAATACAAAAGTGGAAAATACCAGTACTAAAAATCCGGTGAAAGCAGTAATGCATAACAATCCATCTAAAAATGACTTAGGAGGTACCTACCTACTTACCAGTCTCAACCTTTCTCATGAGGACATTCTCTGATAAACCTGTCAACATATACTACAATTTGTTGCTCCTTCCTCACACCACCCAAGCCTATCTACATGATGTATTACCCAGTACATTTGCAACCTTTACACGAACAAACTAATCACTATTTGGATTACTTGTTCATCAGAGACTCACCACCTTAGATTCTGGAACATCACAGCTCCCACTACTAGGAGCACATGCAAGCATATTCTCAGCACATCAGTTCATCACAATAGAAATAGCCTCCTCTTATGATTTTTCTGTTCTCCTTCAGAATATCCTCCTTTTCTTTAGGCCTTCATTCTCCATGAAAACAGATGAAGCATGATGTGCCTCTGCCCTGTTACCAACAAATGTACATACATTTCTACCTTCCCGAACTTCTGCAATTCAACTACCACTTTCGTCTGTAGCAGCCAGCAGCTCAATGCATTGCATGCATGCTCACACCTCCTAACTAGCAGACAGGCAGTCATACATATGACAAGGAAAAACAGTGGGGAATAAGCTGACCTGTAGGTACACACCCAAAACCTTGAGGTAATGTACAAAATTTGTGAAAAAGATGATGGGGAGAGAAAGAAAAGCCTGTGTGTCTTAACCTGCACTGAAACACAGAAGAAACTGCAAGATAAGTTATAGTAGGACCTCCATATCCACGGGATCAGAGCCAGTGGTTTCAATTATCCACTGTCAAAAAATATTAAATAAAACCCTCCAGAAATATGCATTTCCAGGGTGTATTACTAGAAGCAGCTACTAGAGGGAACCAGAGACAGACAGACATGTACATGTGTGTGTGTGTGGGGGGGGGTTATATATATTTTCAGCATCTGTAAAGGGGGACATTTGAAACCAATTTCCCATGGATACCACCGTCCAACTGTATTGTAAGAAAAGATACTGTCCTAGGATTCTTCAAGCGGGAAATCAGGAACGGGTTCATTAAAAGATCCCAAAGATTGGCATTTCGGAAGCATGCTGGTACCAGTTATTTCTCCCTCCCAATTGAAAGTGAGGATGGTAATCCACCACCCTTAGTCACATAAAAGACTAATATGCATAATATCCCTGTGAATCATTAAAATTTTTCATTTGCCTTACAAATATTTAAGATGTTTCTGTTTTAACAAATATATTCAAAATAGGAATAATATCTAGCTTTACTGTTAACAGTTATGAGCAGGATACTAACTGAGCATTGCAAATCTGTGTGTGCATGCTGACAAACCTGTCATAATATGAGAGCAGCCTTAGTGAGATAGACCAAAGACTTATCTAATCCAGCATCCTGTTTCCCACACTAACCAACTACATGCTTATGGGAAACCCATAACAGGACATAAGGACAATAGCCCTCTCCTGTTGTTGTTCTCCAGCATCTGGTCTTTAGAAGGCACATAGTTTCTAATTCAGAGGTATCACACAGTCATCATGATTAAACCAATTGATAGTTGTATTCTACACAAAGGCAGCTGTTTTAGTTACAATTTCAGTTATTTTTCATTGTGAAACCCCCTACCAAGAGAAGCTATGCTGTCCTCACTAGAGTACCTTCCTGGAAGGCAAACACTCTTCTTTTCAAGCTGTTGAGAAAAGGATTTTTATTGCACTTTTTGCTTTTTAAAATCTGTTTTTAATTTTTTAGAAGTGTCTTAAGTCAACAATGTTTTAATATGACAATATGATGAAGTAAACATCAATACTGTAATACTGGTTTTTAGCTGTATCTGTTAATTAACTCTGTAAGCCACCCTGGGTCCCTGTATCAGGAGGGAGGTTACTAATCAAACAAATAAGCTATCCAAGTGGGCTCTTACCATATCTTGTGGCAGAGCACTTCTTTATATCTGTCCTGTATTTTTCACCATTCAGCTCCAAGAAATGACCCCAGGATCCAGTATAATGAGAGAAGGAGGGAAGAAAGTCTGTCCAGTTTCTTCCCAACATTCATTCATTTTATAAATCATTATTATTTTCTTTGCCCTTTCCACTGCTCCTTCTCACAACTTGTCTATGTTGGTTCCCCTGCCCTGCCCATCTCACACCAGATTTTACAATATGCCTCTTATTTCCACTCCAGCAACTATCTAAGAGGATACTATGAAGCTTCTCATCTTTTCAAAATATTCACATTTGAACAAGCCTTCAAAATGCAAGTCAACTTCTCATCTTTTCAGAATATTCACATTTATTTGAACAAGCCTTCAAAATGCAAGTCAAGCAAGAAACATCTGCGTCCTGTGTGGAGTACATCTTGATAAGCATTCTAAGAGTCTTCATACTCTTGTAGACTTCTGGAAAATGTAAGCCAAAATTGGTTTACTGTTTTTTCCCCACTTATGCAACTTCTGGTGTCTTCATATTCCTAGCACCGAAATTCTCCTGTACAAGTACTGCCTTGTACAGTAACCTCATTAACCATTTATTATATTATTTTTTAGAATCCAGTTATTTTCCCATTTATTCTAGGCTATTCACATGACACATATTGGGCACCCTTTTTTGAAACATGCTGCACTCACTAAACACGGTATTTCTTAGCCACACACAAGCCACCATTGGAAGTATTGGCAAGTTCTAGGCATTTTATGATTCTGATTAATACAGGTCAATTAACATATAACACTGAGATAGCAGTGGCACAGAAACCCCACCTGCTCATCTTTCCTGAAATGCAGAACACTAGGAGATTAATGTGGGTCTAATTCTTTATACCTGAGACCTACAAGTTTAACTCAAGGTATATGTGAATAATGGGAAAATATATCTCTAGGCAAGTATAGGGTACTTATCATAGAAAAAGCAAAATCCAGCATCCAAGGAAGGGAATTTCAAGATCAGGCAACCATTCCAGTGGTTATGGGTGCTTCCAAACTAGGCTTTTACTTTTACCAGTCCTGTCTCAGTTAATTAATTCTACTTCGGAGGGGAGGGGTCCTGACAATGGCAGCTTCTCATTTGCAACCTTCCCTTTTTTCCCCCTTCCATTTCTTCCATCTTTTATCTTACCACAAAGAGTGCTTCTAGATTGGGGATTACTAATCCCTCACAATATGTAGGCAGTGTGAAGCTATTCCAGCATTTTTACTTCATGTTTCTTCTCAAATGAAAACATGGTGTGATGGCTGCAAACTGAAGATGATTGATGTCTGGACCTCTTGTGAACTTCCATTAATAAGGCAATTCCATTGCACACACACACACACAAATCTTATCCAGAAAAACCTTTAAAAACCTGATTAAGAAGGGAATAGCTGCACAGTGTCTTTTGACTGGTGTACTTCCAAACAAGGTTTTCATTAAATGATCACACTCCATTTTCTCTGTAAGAAAATCTCTTGAAGGAAGAAAGATGCAACTACACAATCACTTTGAGGCAGAAACCTTGTATTTAGAAGCACCTCAGTGCTATCTCTTTCCTTACCATCCAAATAGTTGCTTCAGAAGTGGAATTTATAGGCCTGAAATCAATATGTACAGTTTAAGCCCTTATCATTTTCTTATAAGCAAAAGGGTCGTCAGTCATGCATGGACATCACACACACATCAACCTCCAAAAATACTAGCACATGAATGGATATGGACAGGATTTGCGCTTTTTATGGACAGGATATGGACAGGATTTGCACTTTTTATCTTGTTACAAAGTCTTATTTAATCTACTCATTTGTCTTATTGCTACCCAACTGTTATATACTTTATTTTCCTCTACTGGTGATATTTTCACTCTCATTTCTTCTACTTCTCGGATTACTTTCTACTGAACCCTGGTCCTTCCCTGTCTCTCACCAACGACCTGTGAATGAATCTAGACCACCATTAGGACCTCTCGCCATTACTACTCCCAAGGACAGTATCAACAGCCTTCAACGACTACCATTGACCATGACCATGCTGGATCGTTTCCCTGTCCGCTCCCTTCCAGACCAGGGTCCTCCCCCATGCTGTCTCTCTACCGAGCCTCCCCTTCTGAGGAAATCGGTTGGAGTCCCCAGAAGCTTATGCCAAACCCAACTTCTTAGCCTTTAAAGAGCCATAAGCTTCCTTGCTGTTCTCCTTTTTCAGGTCCTGAA